TACACAGAAAAAAACACATTTATAGATCATTGTGTTAGCACCATTCATATCCCAGAAGATGCATAGATTGAGTACCAATTCGATCAGACAACAATTCATAATATCATTAGTCTTTGTCAGAGGTGCAATTAAACTCTGTTGTAGTGTTCAGGTCTCGTACCACCAATTAGAACAACAATGTTAGCGTTTGGGTAAATTTCTCCACGAAAAAAAGTTACAAAGATCAAAATATTGTTTTGTGATTTGTTGAAACCTCATGTATGTATAGAGTTCTGGCCAGTAAAACACATGTTGGTCAGCTCAAACTCCTACAAAAAGGATGTAAACAAAACACACAGATTTGCCGGTCTTTCTACCTTCAATAATCTCAGAAACGCAGCCAGTTTGGAAGTGTCTAATTGAGAGTTGCCCAGATCTACAGGTCACAGTTACACACCTACTTGTCTCACAGCTGACGTAATTGGAGTACATCCTCATAGAAGAAAACCCATATGCTAACAATAACCATAAGATTTGGGCTACAAACACTGATAGGCTAATTGTTGACATGAGAACTATACATAGCTATTTTGGATGAGAGGTGTTGAGGGCGCTGTCTATGATATCAACAATTTAGTAACAGTTTGGTGTTAAAGGTCATAACCCAATTCATTCCTTTGTCAACTTTATGAATAACGGTCTGATGAACACTTCTATGCTCTCAACTATCATAGCATTGTACATTCTTATGAATAGTTTTCCCTGATCCCTGCAATAAATCTTTTGTACGAGTGTTCAACATTTCTATACTTTTATCACTTACCCGGTAGATTACATAAGTTTAAATCTTGGGAGGATCTTGTAGTCTGTGGGTCGTAAAGTATACATTATATAGACTATCTTTTTTATTGCTGAAAGGGTGGACACTTAATTTTTGCTTTTGATCAGAGAAAAGTATAATTAGCATTCTGGTTATAAAACAACTTTTAATTTTGTCAAGTCAAACTTATTTAATTTTAATCAACTCAAAGAATGTGTTTGTAGTAACAATACCATTTTATTATTTTCTGGACAATGTTAAGTATACAAGTTGGTATTCCATAAAAACAATAACCCAGCCTTCATATAAAGATTCTTGGGTGGTCGCTATGGCTAATAGATAGAAATATTCAAAAATTAAGCTGGTCTCAGTCTCCAATTTCGAAAATAACTAACTAAACAGGAACATGTGAATCATAGCATTATTGTAAATTACTGGTAGTATTCTCTATTTTGTAGCCTGTTGCAGGGAGTCAGTCACCACCGTGGTCTGCCAAATTGGAAGACGATGATATAGACATGTTACAAGGTTAGCTTCATATCCATTGTTCACAGCCCAAACCAATTTTCCCAAAGGTCTAAGTTTGCAGTATCCTGACATCAGACCTCGCTAATGCCTGACAGAATAGTGTATGTCTCATTGGCAAGATCAATACTGCGAATTTGCAAAGTTCACGCTTTCTTGCAATGAGTTGAATGAATATTCATTTTGGTGGTCATGGTAACACTGTCAAAGCCATGTTAGCATTGTCGGCAAAAATCAGACTGTTTTCAACAAGATAATAAACATTGAGAGACAATTTTCCAGCAACTTATCACACATGACGATAAACTCTGCCGTGAATGGTTATACTTTGACTATCTGATGTTCCAGCAATTTGATTGGTACCGACAAAAAAATCGACTGGGGAAGTAAAAACTGCAATGTTCTGTCAGGCACGTGTTGGGTTTGGAGCACCGCAGAGTTTGTAGTGGTTATACAAAAAAAAACTACCAAAAACGTGTTCACATTGATTCTAACAGTGCATCTTTTTAAATCCTCTTCAGAGTTTGGAAGTCTAACTACTGCCAACCTAATGGAGAAAGTGAAAGGATTACAAAACTTAGCATATCAGTTAGGTTTAGAGGAAGGTAAATATTTGTTTAACTTGTGTAGGCGTTTGGTGCCACACTCTTGGCAAACAATTAAAAAAAAATATCTTGTTATAACGAGTCTCAGCTGGTGTCATATGCTGCAGCAATGGCGGATAGAGATGAATTCATTACATTTTACTTCCGCCTTGGTCTCAACTACGAACAAAATATTTGTCAACCTAACTCACAGGCACAATGTAATTTTAAGTATCCGGTCCCTCAAAAGATGGTTGCGGAAGCTAGGACTCTTTAGGAGAAAAAAAATCACCAATATCGACGACGTGGTCAGTTTTATTCAGGGATCTAACCAATTGCCAGGCTACCGATAGATACATTCAAGTGTATACAAAGTGAAACAGTGATACTCCTACTGAAGTTGTTGGATCCTGTCGGTGTTCTTCTTAGAAACCGTCGTAGGCTGCGATGAAGACGATATTACAGTAAAGGTCCGGATTTGTTGTGGCATCTAGATGGGTACGATAAACTCAAGCCATATGGAATATGTATCAGTGGGTGCATTGATGGATTTTCCCGATCAATTATATGGCTTGAAGCATATATAACAAACAATAACCCTAAAGTCATTGCAAGCTACTATGTACCAGTAGAAGCTGTAAAGGCTAGACAAGGGGCACTGAAAATGGGTATATTGAGCAAATGTTTCTATTGTTGTACACTAGTGGATCGAATATAAGAGACCAGATAACTTTATGAATGCCACAGGATGCCAATGAACCGGAAGTACATTCATGTTTTAACAAGATTTTTGACTCCTGTGTGCGAAGCACAAAAGGGAGTCTTTGCAGTTACCCTGTCTGTATGTCTGTATGTCACTTTTTTTGTTCCACCGTTATCTCAAGAATCACTAATCAAATTTTGGTGAAACTTGGTACATAGATGCTCTGGGATAATGCGCAGAGTTGATTAGGTTTTGGTAAAAATCTATGAATATTAATTACCTAATTTGCATGATACTTAGCTGATTTTTAGCTGTTCCAAGACTGTTCCACTGATATCTAAAGAACCACTCATTGGATTTTGATGAAATGTGGCACATGGATGCTCTGAACTAGTGCGCAGATTTGATTAGTTATGGGTAAAAACTATGAATATTAATTACCTAATTTGCATGATAATTAACTGATTTTAAGCTGTTCTATGACTGTTCCACTGATTTTTGAAGAACCACTCATTGGATTTCAATGAAACTTGGCACATGGATGCTCTGAACTAATGTGCAGATTTGATTAGTTTTGGGTAAAAATCTGTTAATATTATTAATTACCTAATTTGCATAATGATTAATCAATTTTCGGCTTTTCCACTGATATCGAGTACTAATCATAACATTTCAATAAAACTTGGTACATAGGTGTCATATGACACTGCACAGACCTGATAGTTTTTAGGGTAATATCAGTACATATTAATTACCTAATTTGCATAATTAATTAATTTTCAGCTTTTGATATTTCGAGTAGTAATGATCATGTTTCAATGAAACTTGGTACATAGTTACTTGAGGACTGTGCAGAGACCTAATTAGTTTTTGGGTAAATATTTGTGCATATTAATCATCTTATTAGCATAATTAGTTAATTTTCAGCTTTTCACCTGATATCTCAAGTACTAATCATCACATTTCAATGAGACTTGCAACATAGATATTCTAGGACTATGCAGAGACCTGATTAATTTTGGGATAAATAATTGTGCCTATTAATTACCTAATTTGCATAATTAGTTAATTTTTTGCTGTTCTATGGCTGTTGCACTGATGTCTAAAAACCACTCATTGGATTTCAATGAAACTTTTAAAGAGTACCTATCAAATTTCAATGAACCCAAGACTATGCACCATATTAGTTTTTGGTAAATATTTATGCTTCTTAATCACCTAATTAACATAATACTGATATCTCAAGTATTGATCATCACATTTGAATAAAACTTGGTTCATAAATGCTCTAGGACAATAGACAGCCTGATTAATTTTGGGTTATAATCTGTTCATATTAATTCTCTACCGGTAATTAGCATAATAACTAATATTTTTTTGGTTCTAATCACATTTCAATGAAACTTGGTACATTGTGCAGACCTTATTAGTTTTACACTTAAATCAGTTCATATTAGTTACCTTATTTGCATAATTAGTTTTCAGCTATTCCATCAATATCTCAAGTGTAAGTAATTTTGAATTAATTTTTAATGAGTCTCCAAAACTCTCAGCACACAGGAGTTCTAAGCTTTCTTTGATTTTATTAAGAATGACACCAATATGCTTCCCTAGTTTGGCACCCCCAGCAATGAATAAACTTGTCAGTATGCATACCTGAATATCCACCATATCAATGATTAACTTTTTTTTCTAATTTCAGCCCGTGAGATGACGAGGGGAAAATTTTTAAACATACTGGAAAGACCCAAGAAAAGGAAGTGAAATGGATTTTTTTATATGTATATAGAAAATTGAGAGCAGAATATTTATTGGTGCAGTTCAAAAGTGTTTTTAGTGTCAATAGAAACTGCATCCAAACTTCCCCACCAATGCGTGTTCATAGTTCCACCTATGAGTGACTTGTCCTTAAATGATCTAGGGTTTGTATCAAAGCAAGTACACTAATGATTTATAAGATTTATACATTGGATATTTTATTATCTTTTGGTTACAAAAACATTTGCAGTAATATATACTGCAGATGGACAAGCAACTGCATTGACCTGAGCTACTTGCTGGGAATCACTTTTATAGTTAAGCCTCTTTAAAAAAATTGGACTAATAAAGACATAAACAGACCATGTCTATCACAATTGTAAATGGCAATCAATGTTTGTAAATTGTGTTAGGTTACCATTGACCACAACGATTGCAAGTCAAACAAAGTTCTCCACATGTACAAGGTTCCAGTTACTAAAGAAAGATCGAAGAAATTAGATTGACTCTGTAACTGCAAATGACAGTGCTGCACCAGTACCAAGGCCAACTGCTAGAAAGAATGCCATCATTGTGCCAGCCGTTTCTTTATGTTCATCTGCTACTTTCCTGCAAAAACAAACCATGTCATACCAATAAAACAATAAAGTACTAACACTGTTTATTATGCTGAAGTCATGGATAAATTAATCTATCTCATTTGAAAAACACACACTGAATATTGGTAGGTAATCTTGTATGTTCTGGTATCAGGAATTCTGTGCATCATTTATATGCAGCCCTTGAATGTTTTCACTGTCAAACTAGAGACCATTAAAACAGGAATGTAACAAAATGCTTGAGTTAGAGTATTTAAAACGCATTAAAACCTCACAGACCATGTATAATAGTCCTTGTTCACATCAATTTTCATTACCATCTGATTAAGTACCCTTGCCAATTTCTCACTAATATATTGCTTGATTCAGTTGAAATTTTAATACAAGTACTACATTCTTGGGTTATACTGTGGGTTGTCATTTTGTGATTCCATCAAATGTGTTGAATTGACTGCCATTTTGTCTAAAAAACCTGAAATCAGTTTGTAAACTTGTCCAAAACAATTGCTCTGACAGGAACAGAGCGATTCCGTTGAAATTTGTATGTGGCCAATTCCTCGCCAGAATATTGAAAGTATGCATACAAGTTGTAAACTCTTGAGTTACTTACCTTGGTCCATATATCATACAGAGAGTTCCTAGATATCCATTGGATATACCAAATAGTATCATAAAGGTTATGAAATAAGCATCATGGTCAAATAGCACTGGAGTTCTATGAGGTCTTGGCATTGCATTACAAAATGCAAACAGTGGTATAAATGCAATTCTAAGTACAACCAATATTGTTAGACCAATTCCGGATTCATCAGGCTGCAACAAATAAGTTAATTATTAAACTTTGATCATGTCACCTTTAAAGTTTGTTTTTGTCATAAATATTTTGTTAAAGGAACCTTCAAATTTCAATTGACTTTGGGCACGAACAAATGCCAAAGTTGCAGCATTAACAAGCTATCCTGGTGAAAACCTGACAAATTTGCTGCTTATTGATTTGAGTTATTGTCTTCACAAGTCAATAATAAATGCTGCATGTGATCACTAAGAAATCTAGAGAAATGCTTGGTAACTTTCAGTTATATTCATTCAGTAGATGTCTGATGAACAAAATCTGAAAGTTATGCTATTGGGTCCATATTGGCATATCACAGTTTATTGATAGAGTCAGTAACATGACGACCCCTTAAGATGCTGAAAATTAAATTACTATACTGTAGAATACTTTACTTTCGCTTGGGAATTTATTTTCGCTGATGGGAGGATTCCGTGAAAATAAAATCCAGCGAATATACTTTTTTTCATATATTTCACATTAAACTCATCAAAAATTAGTGAAAATAAATTCCATACAAAATGCCTTTTCAGCGAAAATTAATTCCAGCAAAAATAAACTATTCCACAGTAGGCTATTTGTTTATTACAGTACACAAATTAACATATTGAAGGCTTCAAAATAAATCTTACAATACAACATTATGTCAGCTGTATGTGATAATAAATGCCGTCTAGAGCCAGGAAGGTAGATGTGGAAAATGTGTATGCTTTGTGTACAGACAGTAGGCATGTAGGGCAGTAACATACTAGTAAAAGCATACAACATGGAACTGTTGTGTAGCAATCAGATGGTATACAATAGGTGTCATCCATGTATTGAGCACAATACAGTACTAATACTGTTTATTATGCTGAAGTCAAGGATAAATTAATCTCATTTGAAAAACACACTA